ACTGAGCTCCTTATATACCCTACAGTAATTTGAAATTCATAACAATAGGGTGGGAGAATTGCCTGGTTACTAGGCAACATAGACAATAGTGTGAGAGAATAGTGTACAATAGTGTGAGAAAATAGGATGAGTCAGCTAGCTTGGGGACTTGTGATTGGTCCTTGAGCATAGGCTGAGTCAACATGACTCATCTCTATAAATAGAAGGGAATAGCATGAGTCATATTGACATAGAATGAGTCATATCCGCATAGCATGAGTCATATGTAAGGGAGTGAGTCATAAAGGCATGGAATGAGTCATATGGACATAGAATGAGTCATGTCAAGGGAAAACAGTGGAATGTCTCGGATCCTCCTAGAATATTCTGCGCCCTGAATATTCTCACAGTCCTCCTGCTTTGATGCTGCGCCGAAACTGTTCTCCTTGCATCAGCAAGTGCTTTGCATGATTGAAGTCAATGTCGTATATGTCTTCATTGTCGATTCCCAGCCAGTTATTGAAGATACTGTCCACCAAACCTTCCATTACCGATCTGTATATTCCAAATGTAGTGGCTTGAAGCTGGTACTTGTGGTACAGTTCAGGCCTGGAAGGGATACGTTCAGCGCGCAGCGACAGCTTAGTTTGGCATTCGAACGATCTCCTAGTCTGACACCGGGCCCGACGCTGTGATACCGCCGGCCCTGGATCGTTGTTGGCCCGCCGCGACGTCATTGGTCGCTGCACCGGCGACGTCGCACCCATGTATCACTAGGTGGACTCAATTCTGTTTCTTGCTCTTGTTTTTCTCTTGCCATTGGAACCGCTAGTGCCGAGATGCCGCCGCGGAGAAATCCGCCAGAATTGAGACCAATGTTTCTCGACTGTTTCGCAACCTGTTTTTCTTCGGGACAGCTGTCAGATGCCGTGGACGGCCAACGTGCCAGATGTCCAAAAGAGTATGTATGTCAGGGCATGCATGTATATACCTTTTATAGTATTTTCTGTGCTATTCTGGTCTACCCCTAAGCTACATTATCGTCCACTACATCTCTGGCCATGTCGGACTGGCAAGGAGGGTGGGATTCGCAAAAGGACCATGCCCCCTCGACGCATCAACAATCTCATGAGCAGGGGAACTACCACCCCTCAGACCCGCTTAACCCGAGCACATATCCTCAGCAGTCTCGAGCAGACTGGTCACAGGTCCCCGAGACAGCTCATGGATACCGAGGTGAATACCCTGCAGCAGATTATCAGGCTTATGGTCCCACTGGGGCTAACATCTCACCTCGCCGCCGTCACTCACTCCCCCCCGGTCCCGACTACAACCATTTGAGACTGCCGGCACCAAACTTCTACCCGCAGCCTCACCCACTTGGCCTCCCTAATGCAGCTATAAGCCAGCAGCCTTATCACGCCCGCAGCATGCACCAGCCACCATATGGTTCAGAGCTCACCTCAAATGAGAATGTCGCCGTAACCCTGCCTTATCAGGGTCAGAGCGCACATCATCCGCCATATGCGCCTGTAGCAGGGGACACCCGAAATGACAAGCCTCCCTCTCCGGACACAGAGAGCGAGAAGTCAGTCAAGGGAAAACAAGCAAAACGCCGCCCGAAGAAAGGGGACGCTGACAACAAGGCGGAAGAGAAGGAGCCGAATCACAAACCGAAAACGAAGAAAGCTCGAGGTCAGGGAAGCAAGTCAGGCGTCAATCGTCGAGCGCCGGGGGCCTCTGATGAGGATATCGCGGGTCTGAAGCAAGACGAAGCAGCGAGTGTCACCGAAACAACTGAGTCACAGTGGACTGACGAAGAAGACCTTGCAGTTGTCAAGTACATTTGCGAGCCAAAGTGGGTCAACTTTAAGGCCACCCAAGCCATGCACTCCTTGAGATACTGTCGGTGTTGCGGCCCTGGCCACGCCAGGTGTTGAGACTTGATATTCCATAGGGCTCGACATACGCGATCGCAGTAGAGGTATGCTGTCCCCTCCGCGATCGCCGTGACATCACCGGCCTTCTCATTTGTCTCGCCCCCGACCCGGCAGAGAAAAGTCGCCAGTTGGTAGTAAACAGGCCGCTGTTTCTTCTGCCCGCCTGGAGTCTCGAAAGTGGGGTCGTCTTTAATGAGGTCGTGGACATGCCAGAACGTCTCCCTGTCCATCCTGGAGCAAATGACATCTCGGCATTAGTCAAGGACGAACAAAATGAATGACTTTGTCGTACCTTAGCCAAGTCTTGAATTTCCGGTCCGTCCACTCAAACAAAAGGATTCGAAAGAACTCCTCAGCCTTAATCGCATCATACCGTCCTCGCGGTCCATGTTTACCGCTCTTCCTCGCCTCTTTTCGCTGCTTGACTGACAACGCGAGGATCGCGAGCGCCTCAAGTTCTTCGATTTCATCCTGAGCTTCAGCGAGCAGGACGAGGCTCAGACGCCGGAAGATCTTCCAGGCTGGGTGCTGCTGCTTTTTCTTACGTCGGCGAGGGGCACGGGCCATGTAGTTTCAGTAGGTCACTTCAAACAGCAGGACTTAGAACTCGGGCGTATGACATAGACCGAAAAAGCAGATTAATCCAGATGCTGAAGTAAGCAACCGGTGGACTGGTACATCATTCGGGCGCATGCATATTGAAAGTCCGCCGCGCCAGAAACACAAAAAACACCTCCAGAGGTGTTTCTGAAATCCGCTCTGTTTCTCGCTCTGCGCTCAGATCCTGACCAGATAGCCGTTCGGCAGGGACCCCGAAAGGCCTTGGCGAAGTGAGAAACAGGTCGCGAAAAACAGAATTGAGTCCACCTACTGCCTGCTACACGCCCAGTCTAAAAAAGGGTTTCGGCAAGGTCAGACGCCAGACCCCACCAGGCCCTACGCGTGACATCGACTCGATATAAAAACCGAGGATCAACTTGGCCTCTACTTGACTCGTATGTCGAGTCAAGGTCGGAGTCGGTTATCAAGCTGACATCCGGGCTGGACAACGAGAAAGCAGGTTTTCTGGCCAGCGGGCTTTCACATTTCATACAGCTGCTTGATTTTATTGCTCCTTGCATATGAATAAGAAAATGAAGCATATATTGCAATGCTATCTACAGACACTGTGTATATACAGTACATATAATCTTGTAAATACCAGACTGCCTGTCGCAGTCACACCTATTAGAGCCCGCCTGCCACAATGAAACAGCACATTCTGGACGTGATCATGAGCATAGACCATAATGATATTACAATACACATACCCAATTCACCCTGACCCCAGATGCACTCCACCGACCAAAGCTCAATGTTTGAGTGAATAAAATATCCTTCTGAGTGTTCCTGTATGAATGTGAGTGACATGTCGGGGAAAGTTCCTCATCACTTACCAGTTAGCAATGAGTGTTGGACGTCGCAGCCAGAGCTCTGTCACGCAGGCAGCGAGTCAGCGACAAGGAGCGGGAAATC